CTCACAGTGCCTGTAGCTTTTACCAAGGTCCAACCCTCATAACAAGAGGATCCGTTGTCCAATTGCAATCTGGGCTGCGGTTTGATGTATACTTGCAGGCCTGCCGGGTTGTTGAGATGCTACAAAGCTGAGTTTGATTGTTTCATGAGAAGATATCAGCTCCTCTTCGTATGACAAAATGACTACAGAGAAATAAAGAAGATCAAACTTTTGAATGTCGGAAAACCACAGAGTCCTTTCAATCGCCCATTTGAATTGCGCGAGCCCTTGTGGATGCATCGTACAAATTCAAAAATTGTCTAGTGATGTTTTGGTTGGGATAGATGCCAGGATGATGGGGGGGGGGGGGTCGGTATTGGTGGGTCGTCGATGTTGGTATCTGCTTGATCACAGCGAGGTGAATCAAACCAGAGCTGTGTGGCAAAAACCAGCAGCTGAAACTGCTGCACAGCAGCATAACAACATAACTTTAGTTCTTGGAAAACTTCGGTTTGTCCAAGCTTTGTTCAAAACACAATATTTATTTATACAATGCCTTCCTGGACCCTATAAGCTTAACCCAATCCCTTCATTTCATGGCCACGCCTAACTACATGGCCAGGGTGCCTATTGTCGACCAAGACTATTGGCTTCTGATGGGCGCAACAGGGCGCGAGGCAACCAGTGTCTAACTATCTTACTGCAACCAGGCGTTGTTGCTTGACTGACAACCTAACTGAACAAAAGTCACCCTCCCTTCTCTGTCCCCCGTGGTGCTGGTGAGACATTGAATTGCGCCGACCGAAGGATCAGGGAGCTCGGAGGGTCTCAGTCTCCAAACTGCTCGCAAAAGAAAACAGTCCGATTGGAGGACTTCCCGTCGACCAGATGGCTTAATTTAGACGGACCGGCTAAACTTTGTTTGCTGGTGAAATTTTGAGGTTGAACAATTTTCACCAGCCAACAAGGTTTAGCCAGTCCTTGTAAATTTACAAATTTAGACGACGGGAAGTCCTCCATTTTTCATCAGGACCTCTTAATTGTGTATACATATACGTAAGCACAATCCGAGCCCGGATCATGGCTTTGTTCTGCGGCCGGACTGACGGCTTGGGGGCCGGACTTGTCAAGCCAGGTCCATACCACACTCCCTCAAGACTGCTGATCCTGACCACCTTCAGCCTGATCCCAATTGACGAAGATGGCTCGTTCATTCTCACCAGAAGACGATCTCAAGCCGGAATTATGGACAGAACTAGGTGCGGAGATTGTACCGATTGCGAGCATGTCCACTAGAAGACTCCCAACCACCAAGGAGGACTCATTGGACAACCATCAAGGCGCAACACGTACAAGCCAGACAGAGGATACTTCTTCCAAGACAAACCACTTACAATCTCCGAAAAACTCAGAGAAACGAGAGCGTGAACTAGAAACAAATCCCGAGGAACTGAACAAGAAAATCAAACCTGACACTTCTCTTGTCGGCTGGAAGGATTTCCTTCCAGTCGACAGGTACCCTGTTGACTGGAAGGAAATAAATCCTTCCAGCCGTTGAGGTACAAGTACCTCGTCGGCTGGAAGGAAACCCTTCCAGCCTTGGGTATCCTTTGGGATACCCGGATACCCGCCAGTATTTTGCGGAAAAGGGGCCATCCGCCAGCGGATAACGGATATCCAGAGACCATCTCTAATCTTTGTGCTCTATCACATATAGATACCTCTGCACTGCATAGAGATCTTTTGTTTGTACTTGGGTACCAGTTCAATTTTTCACCAAAACAGGTACCAAGTACTGCACCTGGCACCATCTGGCGGGTACTGCCGGTACTTTTCCTCTCTTTCTCACTTAGTTTCACTCCCAGAGTCCGAAGTCACTATTTTCATTTTTTAATATTTACAAGTCATTGAATGGTCATCATCATGCACAACTATCATTTTATTTTTTATCTTTAATCCTACTTGGCAGAAATTATTTAGGGAAGTGGGGACTAGCGCTGGATCCTGTTCCCGGGGTCTCAGGGTATACCCAAAGGGTACACTGCCGGTATCAGGCTCCGGGATGGCTTGTCAGGAGCCCGAACACTGACGGGTATCCCAGGGTACGGTCGCCAGGCTGGCTCAGAGATCCCGGCGGGAATTTGGGGCAAGGGAAAGGGGGGGGGGGCTGATGATCATTGGTAGTTATTGAATGTTTCTGTTACATATAACCACGAACAACTAGAACGAGAAAAAGAAAAGTAATGAAAAAAAAAATATCAGAGGTCGGTCAAACTTGGAGTCCTCCCAACTTGCCAAGTCCCAGGAGGAGGGACCCAAATAAGGCCGGGTATACCCGTGTAGAAAACAGTCCTGTGGGAAAATTAAATTCCCGTGTACCGTTCCCAATACCCAAAGGGAAGAGCTCGGGCACCGTGTTTTGCCTTCCCGGCTGAAGGGTATACCCGCGGGTCGGGGCGCCGGGTACCCCGCAGGATCCAGCGCTAGTGGGGACGTACCCATAGCACCGCCTGTCTTTGCCCCAAAACAGACACCCGGCAGTGCCTGGCGGGTGTGCAGTGGTACCCCCCAAGCCGTGCTGGCACTACAAAAAAACTTGGATTGCATTCTGCAAATGCGCGGTAACATTGCATGTCACATGCAATGTCACCTCGCATTTGCAAAATGCAATGAATTTTTTGGCACTACAAATTCAATTGCATTTTGCGAATGCAAGGTGACATCGCATGTGACATGCGAAGTTACCGCGCATTCACAGAATGTGATCCAAGTTTTTTTGTAGTGTGGGTACCTAGCAACAAGTACCAATGAGCAATCTCTAACACTCCATCCCTTATGTAAGTCTGCAT